TTCGCTCAAGCGACACATTCGCTCAAGCGAAAAATACCAATTTTCGCTCAAGCGAGGCTTGAGCGAGTGAATTTTCGTGAGCTTTAACATATTTTCACTCAAGCGAGAGTCAATCTCACTTTCACCCTCGAATGCGCCCTCACATCCAATATATAAATATATAACTATATAAATATATATAAATATATCAAAATATATAAATATATTTGTATTTATATATTCTATATTTATATATTTACACGGATATATATTTATTTGTAAATTATTATAAAAAAATTATAGTAGTTTAGTGGTTGGAGTATCAACTTTCATCTCTAAAATACTGGATTCGAATCTTGTCGGTGACAATTCTTTAACTTACGTGAATATTTTACTTGAAAAAAATAAAAACACTTTCTAGAAAATATATATAAATAAATATATATTTACACGAATATATATTTGTTTGTATATAAATATAATTTATTTGTAAGTTATTATCAAAAAATTACAATAGTTTAGTGGTTGGAGTATCAACTTTTAACTCTAAAATACTTGGGTTCGAATCTTGTCAGTGACAATTCTCTAACTTAAGTAAATTTTTGGGTGAAAACACATTCAACGTTGAATGTGTCAATTAAAAGACTTTCAACGTCGGTTCATCTGAACCGACGTTGAAAGCATATTTTGTAGTAGTGTCTTTTGAGTTGTTATTCCACTCGAATTGCTTTATGAAGTAAATCTTACATATCAACAAACTCTTGCAACTCAACAATATCACGTATATCAATATTTAAACCACCAATAAATCATGTCATAGTTACCTCTTCATCTTCTTCAATCTTTGTTTGAATCATGAGCATATCCATTTCCTTGAAATACTCCTCAACTCCCTTGCTGCCTTGAGTAAGTTTTTGGAGTTTAAATTTCAAGTCCTTTGAATAACTAGCCGACACATACCGCTTCCTCATGATCATTTTCATCTCAATTCATATATCAACCATTGACTCTTCATTTCTACCTCTCTTCTTTTGTAGCTTGTTCTACCAAATAAGAGCATAGTTAGAAAATTCCGTAGTTGCAAGTCTCACCTTTTGGGTTTCCTCATAATTGTTGCATGAGAAAACATGCTCTATTTTCATCTCTCACTCCAAGTATGTCTCCGGATCACTTTTTCCTTTGAATAGATGAATGTTAAGCTTGACTACTTCAAGCCTACTTAGTCTTGCTACTCCATCATTCCTTCTCCTATTTCTCCTTTCTTCTTCATCTTCAGGATCTCTATTCTCCAACTAGTTCAATATTTCATGAAGCTCATTGTTATATTGTATCATTAATCCTTCCAAATGTTATATCAATGCTCTCATTTGAAATAGACTAATTCTTGCTTCTTTATTGTAATTTTTCTCTTCTGCCATCAATTTGATGTTCAAACCCTTAAACCAGAGCTCTGAATACCAACTGATATGAGTCTCAATATTACAAGAGATGATTTACGAACTTTAGGGTTAGAACCTTGTAAGAAATTTAGGAATTTAATGATAAGGTAAAAGGAAAGAATCACTCTTCCGAAGAAAGACAACTCACAAAGGATGTGAAAGTCCTTTGATACAACCAAAAGGTTCTTGAATCACTCAAAAATTTAGGAGAATCACTCTCAGTAAGATAAAAGAGATAAACTCTAATATTTCTGAATAAAATTTTACTTGTTATTTTTTATAAAAATGGTTCAGCCTATATAAAAGTTTTGTCATCAGAATTACAAAGATTTAATAAAGGAAAATAAATACTAATAATGATTCATTAACCTTAGAATTGAAAACTACTTAATGAATTATTGTAATTGAAATTGTGGCAACCAAAAGTCAATCAGCTATATACCATCTTGGTCTCTCAAAGACTGATAACTAAATTTCCAATTGGGCCCTTATTATAACTTGCAATAAAACCAAACTAGAATCCATTAATTGATTAATCCAAAACACAATTTGGTCAACCATCAATACTTGTTGAAAAGCTTTCTTTGCTTCCCTTACTTTCCTTGCTCTAGCCTTTGTCATAGGTCATGTTCACATTACAAAAGGGGTGAGACAAGAACGACGACTGGATTTTCACAGGGATGCAAGTACAAGGGGTTGACTGGGTTAATGAGATGATATGGTGGTGTGTTGTTTTGGCTAAGTTGATTCATCGTTGATCAGAAGAAACAAAGAAGAAAACAGAAGCTAGAGAGGAAATGCGGAAGCTAGGGAGGCAATTCTTAATCTGATACCATATTAGTTTTTATGACTTGAATTAAGAATGAAAAACTTTGCATAACTCTTTATTGATCAACACAATTATATCAAGTACAGAGAGAAACTTTTTATAAGCCATTTACAAAAGAAGGATAAAAAAGACTAATAGTATTAACAAAGAAGAGGAAACAAAATTAACAAAAAAAATAAAAAAAATGTAACAGTATTTCTAACTGTAATAGAAATTCATCCTTAGAGAGATAAATGTATGTTATAAACTTGAAAAATCTTTAAATCTTTGTTATACATTTGAAAAATCTTATTTGTTAAGAATTATTATCTTTTGGGATGATTATGATAAGAAGAAGGAACTGAATGATTTTTTAGTGTAACTAGCCATATTGGAATCTAGTGGCTTATTATGGTAATTATTGATTTCACATATATGTCTAGCAAATTGAACCTTGTAACTTTTATTTAGGGGATAAACCTCAAAATTTCCAATATGTAAGCTTTATTTTTTTACAATAATTATCTTGTAAGATTTTGAGAATAAATTCTCCAAATATAAGCTTCATTTTTTGACCATAACTGTCTTGTAGGATTTTGAAAATAAAGATGATTGATGATGAAGATAAAAGTTAAAGAATCAAAAGACTCTTCAGATGTTATTATCTGTTCTTCAAAACGCAAAATCTTTTTAATTATTGTCTCCACCAAAACAAAAGACAAAATCATTCTAAAAGGGTATAGAAATAGAACTTGTCCTTACATGGATATGTAAGGATTTTGTACGCCAAATCTTCAGAACAATGGGTATGAAATATTAAACAAAGACCACTCAATTAGTTGGTTCACAAAGATCTATCCTGGTTCACAAAATAATTCAAAAATCCCAAAAGAATTTTCTAGATCAATATTATTCTTAAAACCCAGATGAGATCTTTATGAACCAATTGTTTGGGTGGATGATCTAGCGTAATATTGTTTAATATTTATACTTATTGTTCTAAAGACCCAAGTGACATACAGAATTCCTACATATCTATATAAAGACAAGTGCTATTTTTAGATCCTGTTAAAACGATTTTCTCCTCCATCTTAGTGGAGACAAGAACTAAAAAGATTTTAGATTTTGAAGAATAAAGACCAAAATATGAAGAGTCTTTTGATTCTTTAACTTTTATCATCATCATAATCTATCATGCTAATTTCCAAAATCCTATGGTAAAAAAAATGAGCCTATATCTGGAAACAAAATAATAGTTACAAGATTTAACTTACTCGACATCTCTCCAAAGTCAATAATTACCATTAAAAGTCACTAGATCCCAATTTGATCAATTCCTCTCAGAAACCACTATCTTCGTATTCTCTTTTCAGAATCATCCTAAAATATAATAATCTTCAACGAATAAGATTTTTCAAGTTCCCAATAAAGTTTTATGTATTTGAGGATGAATTTCAAAAGATTGAAGACCTAACCCAATGTATAGACACATGACCAAAAATGAAACCTAACCGATGAATTGTTTAAACCCCACAAAATCAGGATAAAAAAAAAGATAATAAAGATTGCTACATAAATATATAAAAAATATAAACTCAATTTAACTAAAAGTGGTTAAATATTATTATTGTATTTTTTTTTTCTCTTTCACTTTCTTTATTTTTATGTGAAAATTTCTTACCACATTACCCCTTGTCTATATGTAATAATAATAATTTGTAATGATTTCAAATTTGATTTTTTTTTAATCCATACTTATCTCTTTTATAAAAAAGATAAATCCATAATTATCCTTTGTTTTAATTAGGATGATAAAACAGATCAACCTCGTCCCGACCAGTCAAAAATGGGGTGGGACAGATCGACCCACCATAATCAAGACAGGCCATAAACCCCACCCTGCAGGTTAACAAATCAGCTCGCCAATATATTTCTTTTTATATATATTTTTTAAAAATATATCTTTAATTATATGAATAATTTTTAAATTTTTATTTATTAATTAATATTTTTATTAGATAAATTAAAAAAATATTATATTTATGTATCAAAATAATTAATTATAATTAGTAATTTAAATTCTATTAATTAACTTTTATAATTTAAATTATAATATTATAATATATTTATATATTTTAATAACATAACACAACAAATAATATTTTTAATTATAATTTTTTTATTTTAATTTTAATATATAAATATCTTTTTAAAATAGACCAACAAATTAATCCACCTTTTCGGGACTTTTTTCATAAATAATACTCGTTTTCAAAAATATTTACCAAAATAGCACCTCTGCAACTTTATTTACACAACTAGCACTGTTCATCGTTCACGTAATAAAATAATATTATTTCGCGTAACCGTTTCATTGTTCACGTATTAAAATAATATTATTTCGCGTACTGAACTCTCGCTCAAGCGAAGAAAACCTTCGCTTGAGCGAGGAAATCTGTAACAAAGGGGTAAATTCTCGCTCAAGCGAAGAAACCCTCGCTTGAGCGAAAAGTATGATCGATTATTATCCAATTATAGTCGATCACTTTGACATATATGACTTTAGATAGCGGTTATTTGGCCAACCGCTATCTAAACTACTACATTAGAAAGCGGTTAAAGCCTAACCGCTATCTAATATATATTTATAAAAGTGGTTGTTATCAACCGCTATCTAAGGTGACTCAAGCAAAAAACGCATCGCTTGAGCGAGAACAGCTTTGGAGCTGACGCATGGAAGGCCTCCTCTCTCTCACCTTCCACCTTCCAAGTCCATGATGCTCAAGATCACCAAGCGATTTCGTTTCTCCGATTTTGATAAGTATAGAAAGGGGAATGGAAAGAAGTTCTCCAAGGCGTTCAAGGACATGGTGGCTTCTTGTCTAGACCAAGATCCTTCCAAAAGACCCACAGTGATAAGTTGCTTGAAACACCCCTTCTTTAAAAGCCGTAAGGGAACCGATTTTCCGGTGAGGAACGTTCTCCAAGGGTTGCCCGAGTGTGGAGAAAAGGTATAAGGATAACAAGGTTAATGAGCATGCAGATGAGGGGGAGCATGATGATGATGATGATGAAGAAGACCCTGCCATGCTGGTGAAGGAGAGAAGGATCAGCGGGTGGAACTTCAACCAAGACGGGTTGGAGCTTGATCCTGTGTTCCCAAACGATGATGCGGTGGCAAAAGAGGTTGCGTTTGGAAGGGAAGCGGGTACCCAACAAATGGGGGAGCATGTTTATGTTGGTGGTGGTGCAGCAGCAGCAAGCATAGCGGGTGGTGGTGGCGTGAAGAAGGAAAAGATGTTGGCGTGAAGAAGGTGGTGGTGCAGCAGCAGCAAGCATTTAGCAGTTCCATGCATTAATACAATTGAGTATAGAATGCAAACTTGCTAAATGTGTTGTATTAATGCATTATTTTATGTAGAAATAATATTATTTTATTACGTGAACAGTAATACAACCATTTAGCAGTTCCATACATTAATACAACACATTATTATTTCTACATAAAAACCAATGCAGGCTTTTGAAAGTGATAAAATAATACAACCATTTAGCAGTTCCATGCATTAATACAATTGAGTATAGAATGCAAACTTGACAAGTTGGGAAGAAAAAGAGAATGTCTTGTCCAATTCTCTGCCCACACTACCTGTAAAGGTAATCAAAGGCTAAACAACATACTATGCCCATTGAGATCTAAGAATAAATTGCAGTCTACCAATAATAGATACAAATTGGTGACAGATATAATATCTAGTAGAATGAGATATTCGAATCAATAAATATGTGCTATCTGATGTGCCCTTCAAAGAATGCAATAAGCCTCAAAAAAGATTTCAAAACAAGTTCACAAAACAGTTGCGAATCTTTCTTGGAAAAGAATGCTAACAGTTGCTTGAATTGATTGCTTTGGATGTGTAAAAACTGATGTTCAATCTATGTTTAAAAGTTTCAAGCAAAACTGTTTTTAAAGAGAATTTTCAAATCTGCTGCATTAATTAATCTGTTGAAAGTTTGTTTTAATCTGTTGAAATAGTCGTTATAATCTGTTAAAAGTCCTTTCAACTCATTAATGCGTTCTTGTTTCTTTAACAGAATGTTTTTAGTTGATACAACCATGTTTATATCAATTAAAACATTTTACAAACATTTTCTGAGAGTGATTCAATCGATTGATTCTCGTTTTAATCGATTGATTTACTTTAAAACTTTCTTATAAAACTTTTCAAGTTATTTTAACTGATACAAAGAAGTTTTAATCGATTAAAAACCTGCAAAGAATTTTTCTAAGTTGTTTTAATCGGTTGAAACGCGTTTTAATCGATTGAAACTCTGTACAAAGATTTTCCAAGTTATTTTAATCGATTGAAATGCGTTTTAATCGATTGAAACTCTGTACAAAAATTTTCAAGCCATTTTAATCGATTGAAATTCGTTTTAATCGATTGAAATAAGTCTGATCGGTCATAATTCAATTCTGATCGATCATAACCAACTCTGATCGGTCATATTTGAATTCTAATCGGTCATAAAGAGTTTTAAAGGGTTTTAATCGATTAAAAGAAGTTTGTATCGATTAAAATACAGTAAAAACACTTCTTTAAACATTCTAAGTGATTTTAATCGTTTCTTTTAAAACTATATCGGTTAAAAACATTATTAAGAAAGTTCTTTGTCAAAATGTTTTTGTTTTTTATTTGTTTAAAACTATTTTTGAGGCATTTTGCAAAATGATGAAGAAACTTTAGAATATATATATATATAAAAGAACTGATCCTAAAATATATATATATATATAGAACCGAATAGAATATATATATATATATATATATATATATATATATATATATATATATATATATATATATAAAAGAAGCTGATCCTAAAATAGATTACATAATTTCATGCATGCTTTGACCAGAAACAAGTATAAGCAAATGCTTCAGAAATAGAAGAAATAAAATTTTAGTTTGAAACATTGAGAGCGAGAAGAATGGTGAAGCTTGCAAGTGTGAAGCTGCAACTCCAACTGCAAGTTCTTCTTCCTCTCATTTTCCAGTGCGACCCTCAGCCTAGAAATCTCCTTGTGCTCTTCACCATGATCGAGCAGCAGCAGCTACTTGATGATCACTCTCCTCTTCTCCTTGTATCGTTTTCACCGAAACTTCACTTCCAACAGCTCTTGTTCCAAGCTCCCTTTCAACACATTCGAGTCGCCAACATCTTTTCCTTCTTCACGCCACCACCACCCGCTATGCTTGCTGCTGCCTGCACCACCACCAACATAAACATGATCCCCCATTTGTTGGGTACCCGCTTCCCTTCCAAACGCAACCTCTTTTGCCACCGCATCATCGTTTGGGAACACAGGATCAAGCTCCAACCCGTCTTGGTTGAAGTTCCACCCGCTGATCCTTCTCTCCTTCACCGAGCATGGCGAGGTCTTCTTCATCATCATCATCATCATGCTCCCCCTCATCCGCATGCTCATTAACCTTGTTATCCTTATACCTTTTCTCCACATCTGGGCAACCCTTGGAGAACGTTCCTCACCGAGAAATCGGTTCCCTTACAGTTTTTAAAGAAGGGGTGTTTCAGCAACTTATCAGCTGTGGGTCTTTTGGAAGGATCTTGGTCTAGACAAGAAGCCACCATGTCCTTGAACGCCTTGGAGAACTTCTTTCCATTCCCCTTTCTATACTTATCAAAATCGGAGAAACGAAATCGCTTGGTGATCTTGAGCATCATGGACTTGGAAGGTGGAAGGTGAGAGAGAGGAGGCCTTCCATGCGCCAGCTCCAAAGCTGTTCTCGCTCAAGCGATGCGTTTTTCGCTTGAGTCACCTTAGATAGCGGTTGATAACAACCGCTTTTATAAATATATATTAGATAGCGGTTAGGCTTTAACCGCTTTCTAATGTAGTAGTTTAGATAGTGGTTGGCCAAATAACCGCTATCTAAAGTCATATATGTCAAAGTGATCGACTATAATTGGATAATAATCGATCATACTTTTCGCTCAAGCGAGGGTTTCTTCGCTTGAGCGAGAATTTACCCCAAATTACCCCTTTGTTACAGATTTCCTCGCTCAAGCGAAGGTTTTCTTCGCTTGAGCGAGAGTTCAGTACGCGAAATAATATTATTTTATTACATTAACAGTAAACAGTGCTAGTTGTGTAAATAAAGTTGCAGAGGTGCTATTTTGGTAAATATTTTTGAAAACAGTATTATTTATGAAAAAAAGTCCCTTGTCGTTGGCCCACTGGATTTACCCTATTTTATCATTCCTAATTTTAATAATAATTTTTTATAAAATAAATAAATAAATCTTTTATTATTTTAAAAAATAAAAATATTTAAATTATTTAGAAATATTATAATTTAATATATTATATTTTAGATAATAAATTTTTTGGTTTTTCATCAAGATGTTGTTGAAGATGATTTTTGGATGATAGAAGTAAAATAGTCTATTAAACATCTTATGTACAACGTCTGGTTTAAAGCATATCTGATATTAGACAATCTGATGAAGAAAAATGAAAGTCTTCTGGTATGGAGTCGATTCTTCATCAATAGATGTGTTCACGAGTTAACGAAGAATATCAAGGAAGGGTTGTAACAAGAAACAAGACTTAAAATTCAAAAAGGATAAAGAAGAATAGAAGAGATCAAGAAAGCTTCTAAACACTGTAAGATAATGGTATCAACTGTGATTCTCACTATAGCTCTCCCAGATTCAGTTTCTCTCTATTATGAAATAATAATAATACTAATATAGGTTGTAAACATAAAGTAAATTATTCAACAAAAATATTAATATAGATTGTAATCCTACAGTAAAATATTCAACTCAACCGCATCCTTATTTTCTAGTTTAATTTGTTGAATCATGGTGTATCATAGGAGTTAGTGTAGATTTTTGACTCACATCTCTTAATGTCCAATGAGCTAAGTCCGATTACTTTGGCTCACCTTCTGATATTTCTGATATGATACTGACAAGAAGCGTTAACTTCAAACATAGCTTCAACAAATAGAGAAATGAATCGAGGAGACTAATAAAGTTCTAAAGGAATTTTGACTGGAAGTAAAGAAAAGGAGAATGAAGAATACATCCATAAACATCTCAAAAATATTTATATAGGTTCCTGGCTGAGTTAACAGCAATAATACAGCTAGAAAATAATTTCCCATGGGCATCCTACCCTAAAGCAGAATAGCAATATCTGTCACTAATATAAAATGGTAACTACAAATATGAATGCTATAAAATGATTAGGAATGAGAATAGACAAAGATAGATAAATATCTAGTAATTATATACATGGTGGAAGCTTACCAGAAGCTGGAGACCCTGGGAACTACAGTAAGTACAACTGCAAACTCCAGAATCAGCCAACAAACAAATGCATAAAGGGGAAGTTCGCAACTGAAACAAACTAAATTGTTACGAAGTTTCCATCACGAAATAAAAGTGAAGTTAATAAAATGCAGCATATACAATAGATGGCAAAGTGAGGCATTTCATTTGCAGAATAGTCAAATCAAGATAAAGATGCATCAAATTGTGATTTATTCATTGCTTACAAAACAAATTACCTGACAACAACTGGGCTCCAACCAAATCCATAGATTTTTGGTGGAGAAATCCTGCTTAAGTAAAAAACTTAGTCTATTATGGTCACAAAACAGAAATGGCTACAGCAGAAGGAGAACTCTCCCACACTTCAATTCCCTCAACATCTTCTCTACTAACAAACAATCTATCCCCACCACCTTCAATCTTCTTTATAATCCCTCTCTCTGAGTCCTCTCTTTTATCCACAAAATTCCTCCTATAAAACCCCTCTGCATCACACTCATTCTCACTTTTTACACCAACACTTGCCCTTTCTTCCACCCTTGACCAAACCTCCAACTCGCCATCTCTAGCCACAAACACTTGGCCCCTGTAACAATGCACCACACTATTACTCACTTCACCGCAACTCACCAGACTAGGGTTCTTCTCTTTCAGATAAATCCAAGGATCATCCTTCAAAAACCGCATATCCGCCATAGCCAAATCCCCCGACTTAGAACACAACTTGAACAGCAACAACCCTTCCACGTCAGCTTCCACGTCAGTAAACGAATCGCCGAACCTGCTGCTCCGTCCCGAACCACCGGGCTCGTTTGTCTCCCAAACAACCTCCCCGAACCTTGGGTCCCACAATCGAACATAACCGGAGAAACCAAAAGCACCACCGGCGACCGCGCTTCCGACGAGAACTCCGGTTGCCGGAATCCACGTCAACTTCGCGGGAACCATGTTCTTCGCCTGGTTCCCCGATTGCCTAGCAAACTCATTCACAATCCGAAGGTTCGACTTATCCACTTCGAGGATACAATTCTCTCTGTGAGGACAATCGAACGAAGCGAAAACGGAATTCTCCGAAGCGGTTATCGCGCTCACGCGCGCCTTGAAGATTCGGGGATCGAGAGGATCGGTCCACTGGACCGAGCCGATGTGCCGGCTACCGGAGAAGTTGTAGAAGTGGAGGCCGGCGTCCGACTTGGACCCGACCGCGGCGATCTCGGGCCAGACGCGGCAGATAGAGTCAATTTCGTCGAGGTGTGTGCGGACGGTGCCGGCGTGGATGAGGGATGAGTCGTAGCCAGAGATCTGGCCACCATGGGCGATCCAGACGGCGCCAGAATCAGAGGCGGCGAAGGAGGAAGGGAGGCCCTCGGAGGCGGGGCGGATTGAGGTGGCGAGGGCGGCGTCGATGCCTAAAAATGGCGGCGGAGCGGTGGCGGCGCGGAGGTGCGCGTCGATGCCGTAGAATAGGGCCTCGTCGGCGAGCTCTTGTCTGGAGAATCGGCGGGCGGTGGAGGGAAGGTGAGCGGTGCGGAGGAGCGAGAGGAGGACCGAGAAGACCTCCGGGTCGCGGTCGATGAAAACCGGGTTGGGGTCGGCCGAGGGCCGGTTCGAGAGGGCGTAGAGGAGCGAGTCGGGGCCGCCGGAGCGAAGCGTGGAAAGCGTTGTCTCGAAGTGCTTTCCGCCCACGTTCAGCCTTATGCGTTCGTTCGCAGTGTTGGATTCCGCTGAAGTGCTTTCTTCCTCCATAATCCAACGACAACCACAAGAAGATGAAAAGAAGAAACCAAGCAGGTGAGCGTTTTCTTCTGATTTTTTCAACTCTTTTTAGTTGAATACTGTAAACAATAATTTAATAACAAATGGTCCTTCACTATCTAATAATGTAATAGTATAAAAGTAGGTATTTTTATATACAAGGCCCCTAGGAATATTTTTGTTGACATTCTTTCAACAATTAGTTAAGAGTAATTTATTGAAAATAATCAACTCTCGTAACTTTCACTTGTCATATTTCTTAATTATGTACACAGTTGAGCATGATTTGTTTTAAGAAAATATAAAGTTAAACAAGGTAGGTCATAATAATTGGGTATAAAAAATATGCAAAAGAAAGTGAACAAAGACATAGGGAATGCAATTTTAATCATACACCAATAATGCATAGGTTGGAAAACTTGCAAAACCCAAAATTGGAATGAGAGGCTAAGCTGATTTTGAGGGTGAGAAATTAATGGTAGAACATAACAAGAAGTTGTTGTTTCAAGAAGCTTGAAATCTTTAACATTGGAACCCCCATGAGAATGTGTTCATCAGGTTGGTCATGGCCATCTTGATGTAATTTGAAAGTCCAAGTCCCTTCCCCATCCAGCCTACCCTTCCAAGGTTAGGTTGCTTGGGAGTGACATAACACAACCATGAGTCTCAATTGCCTTACTTGTGGAAATATCCTCCAAAGGGTGAAGTCAGGCAGGAGTGATGCATGTCTCCCCCTACCAGAAGAATCAATCAAACCTTGTTATAACAATGAGAATAATAATAATAACAGGAAAGTGAGTAAGGCTCCAAATAGAAGCTGGTCAGGGAACATGACACCACCCCAATTTGAACCTAGTGGACCATTGGCCAAGGTTAAGACAGCACATCATAGACGCACCACTAGTGAAGGCGGTCTTGGACCAAGATTGGTAAGGAGCAGTGGAATGAGAAGAGATTGGAGTTTTGAGGATTTGGCTGATGAAAATCAAGACAAGGGAGTTAGATGCCACTGAGATTCATTCATTCATTATTCATTCTCTATCTATCTATCATTCATCCATCTCTCATTGCTTGCCTTTTCCATATACACTCTGTATTCATACTTTTTATTCTTTGGGAAAAAAATCATTATGATTTCTTTAGATTGGTAGACGTTGGAAAAGGATTCAACATTTTATCCTGTGATTTCATATCAATTATTCAAATTCTCCAGTCATGAATTTCACTTACACCTTCTTAACTAAAGCAACAGCCTCAAATTGTTCAGAGGTAACATTATTCCTTAAACAACAACTCCGGAATTCTATTCGAAATTCATTTTCGCATAACACATTAATTCACAACGTCAAAATTTGATATTATTTCTTCCATGGATATTTATTGAAGTTGATTGTGATTATTTTATTATTCACATTGTAATCATTATTTTCTTTCTTAATTGATATTAATTCATGTTTTCTTTCTTAATTATTTCTTCATATGAGTTCATGTTATCTTTAGTTGACGTCAGTTAGAATTGTTTTTTAACTAATATAAACATATTTTTCTCTCTGTGTTTTCAAGGTTATTTCTCAATCAAACGTTAATAAGAGTTTCTTAATTAATATAAACAGGACACTTTTTTTTATTCATTTTTTCATCATAAAAATAAGATTATTTTTTTAATGATGTAAATTAAGATTTTTTAGTTGATTTTGATAGAGACTTTTTTTCTTTACTCATTATTAAAATTATTTTTTCATCAATACAGTAGATTTTATTTATTTATTTTCAATTTAACTTAGAATTTTCTCAGTCAATTATCACAATACACTATTTTCTAATGATCGTCAACTAGATTTTTTATTTAGGTCTTTTGTAGTTTATTTATTTATTATTAATGTACGCATGAATGGTGTGTTTTATTAGTGTGGTCGATATTATATTTATGAAGGATGTGAAAAATTATTTTTTATTATATTTAAATTTTGACTATATTAGTAAAAAACTTATTAATCAACTTAAATAAATAAAAAATTATAAAAAAGACTCTAATTGTCAAAAAATAAATTTAATCTGTTTCAATCAAATGATTATAGTCAATCTAAAATAATTTTAATAGAAGTCAATAAAAAAATTATTATCAACCTCAATTGAAAAAATATCCTAGATTTTAATGTATTTAAAAATAAGTTAATATCTTACTCTGAAAAATCATTTTAAATTAATAAATATTATTTAAATTAAAACAAAATTTGTATATAATGCTAATTATAATATTTTATAAAAAAATTAAATTATTTCGTTGAAACCAAAATTTTTAAAATAAAAAAATTAACAAAAAAAATTTAAATTTAATATTTAAGATTTTTTAAAATGAATTATAATTTTTAGACTTAGTTAAATTTGTCATGATTGAAAATTAAAAAAATATTTTTAAAATTTAAATTATATTAATCAAATTACTTTTTATTTAATAATTTAGTATATAAATTAAAAGATAATGGATTCATTTAATCCTAAAATAAGATTTAAAATCTTATTTTTTATTATCATCATTTATTTTTTAATAATTTATTAATTAAAAATAATGATTAATTTTAATTACTAAATATTAGAATAAGTGGTTGTTAGAGCATGGGAAGTTATTTATTGAAATACTTAGAAGTAACATTAGTACTACAAGAAAATCATTTATTTCCGATGAATTTTTACCGACGGAATTATAACCGTCGGAAAATAAGTCATTATCGACGAAAATTATCGACGAAAATTAACGACAGATAAAAATATTCGTCAGTAACTGAACAAATAGTTACCAATGAATATATGACGGATCAGTTGCCATCGATAAATACATCATTATTGACGAAATTTACCGATGGATGTACAGTATTCATAGAATTTGGTTTTATCGACGGATATATGCGTCGGTAAATACAAAATTAAATACTGACAAATATATTCGTCGCTAAATAAATGATTAATTACCACAGTTGTTTCCTCTTTCTCTCGCGGCCTCTTTTCCCTCTCTCTTACTACGAAACCTTCTATCACTTGCTTTTTCTCTGTGTAATCCTCGCTCTACCTCTTCGATTCTTCTCCCTGCCCTCGCTCTTAGGTTTTCGCCTATTCTATCCCTCTCTTGATTTCTATTAACCAATTCTATCCCTCTCTCAATTTCTATTAAACCATTTTTTCCTGATTGAGTTTAATTAATTGCGCAGGTTTGAAGTTCTGCTTTGTGTCTCATTGGAACAGGGACGACAAATTTATTTAGTGGTAATTTCTCTTGCCCAGTGTTTGTTTTTTTTTTGGATTTTAGGGTTTCGATGTTTTGGATGGGAAAGGAGGTAAATGGAATGCGATTCCATGTGGTTTTCAAAATTGGATGTGGAATTCGATGGATTGCTTGTTTGTTTGATTGAAAAAATTTCAATGTGTTTTTGTCGTGTTTTGGTGTTGTTGTTTTTTTGTGATGTGAGTGTGGACCACTGGGGTTTACTGTGTTTGGTGAGTGTGGATGATTGGGGTGCAGTGAAAGCGAGGGCATTGGGGTTCAAAGAGTGTTAAGGGCATGAAAAGTAGAGAAAGAAATGTGGGTAATTGTGTTGAGTTCTATTTGGAATCAAAGAAATGGAATCCTTTTTTGTAATGAAAGAGTAGATGTAGAGAAAACATTTACAGTTGCCTCAGCTAAAGGCATGGTCCTACGTCACTAATACAGTACTAAAAGCTTGTTTGACATAAAATATATTATGATTGGTGTATTAATACTTATCTTGTATGCAATATCTTAGTCTTAATTCTGATGTTGGGTGTGTGATGAGAAACTACCATAGAGGGAGGTAGTATTAATTATTGAAGGCTTGACAGAGGTCATAGGTACAACAAATCATATAAGAAGTGGGAGAAAAATAGGGTTGTCATGATATACGAGGAAGATCAGTTTATTTGTATATAAGATGAGGGATAGGGATGACAGAGGAGTTAAGTTGTGTTTAGAAGTTGAGTGGTGTATGAGGGATGAAGTTTAGAGAGGTATTATCAGATCTAATTTAACCTTATTAAAAAAAAATTTATATCTTGAAAAAAAGATAAAATAAAGAATTAAAGGGTGGAATAGAGGTTGAGAAGATCTGATACATGAGCTGATTTGATCGTGTAGGTTAATGATATTGGTTAGGTCATTCAAGTTTTGTTTATTTGTGTGAGTTTGTGTTGAGCGTTAGATTAAAATGATGTAGAGATATGGTAATCATGGTTGAAGTCCAAAAGCACATTGATTTGAAGTCCAAAAGTGTGGGACCTGCATGAAGTCCAAAAGCAAATAAATAAAACCTATGAAAACTGAGACATGCACATTGATTTGATGTTTCTATTACATTATCCCAAACAAAACCATATATAATGTTTATTAACGTGGGATTTGTCTATTAATTAATCAAATTTATTGACTTGTGGAGAGCTAGTTATAGCTTTGGCTTGTGGGTCCAGATTTTGACTTGTGGAGAGCTACTTACAGCTAGGAACTTTATTTTGATTGACTAATTATAAATTTTGGAACATAACATATCATTACATATTTACTTTGACATTTAGGTTGCTTCTTGTTGGGTTGTAGATATCATGTTTAGAATGACTGAAAATGAGACATATTTGATGAATTCCATTTGTTAGAATTATGCAGCAGACCATGTAATTATGTTAAGAGATATAATTACATTATGCAGAAGACCATGTAATTATGTAGCAGACCATTTGTAACCTGCTGTATTTACAATTATTACTATCATTACATTATTTCTATCAACATCCATAAGTTTTATTTTAGTTGGTGCTAAAATCTTTTAGGCCTTTTGTCAGTTATACAATAGCTGCAAAGTTTATCTTATTCATTATATGTAGGTAACTGGATCTAAGTTATGGTGACAAGTAGGAGAGAGTCTTTCAACCCTCCAAAGTAAGGCTTGAACATGCTATTGTTTTGTAGTTCTTATTAAGCTTTCATTGCCTCATCATATTGTATTTATGCTATCTTCTAAGCAAGGTTATCAGAATCGAGAGTCTACGTAAACTCGTGAGAGCTTCGTAGACTCGACTCGTAAACCCGACTCGTAGACTCGTAAGAGTCTACTTCATATGAAAAATTCTATATAATAATATAAATTCAGAATTTCATCATCAAAATTAACGAAAATAAAAAACAATAGTTCAATAATTCTAAAATAACTTGGTTCAACACACATGATTGTTATATAAGTTCAAATTACACAAAATACATAAGTTAATACAAATCACCAAAAAATAAATAACTTCAACTTTCTAGCTCCAATCCTCTAATTATATCATCTCCAACATCATCATCTTTTTCATCTTCATCATCATCTTCTCCATCACCATCAACCTCTTCCTCGGATGATAAGAGTGCATCATCAACATTGGCATCAAACACTATATTATCAAGATCAATTGGTTCTAAAGAAGGATCAACTGAACTTATTTCAGCTATGTCAACATTTTCCTCATCACCTTCACCTTGAATTGGCTCAATCCCAACATTATCACCATCTCCTGTTATCCATTCATCATCAGACTCAATATCATCAAATGGGAGAACAACTGTTTTCCTATTTTGTTTATTTTTGAGCTTCAAGTTGTACATGACATAAACCAAGTCATTCATCTTTTTTTGGTGCAAACGGTTTCTTCTTTTTGTGTGAACCTATAAATAAATATGAATGTTTAAATACAAAAAATTAAACACAAATAATAACTTAACAAATTTGACTTACCATTTCAAATGAGCTCCAATTACGCTCACACCCAGAAGAACTACAAGTTAAGTTCAAAACTCGAATAGCAAATCGCTTCAACTCTGGAGTTCCATCTCCAAACATTTCCCACCATTCTCCAGGAAGCATAACTTTCCTGCAATCTTTTGCATTTTCCATTGAGAAAAGTCCTTTTGCAAAATGAAAGTCTAGAAGTTGTAAATTAATTTTTTTCCTTTCTGCAACATCCTTGACCAATCTTTTCATGCATTCATACAACCCTTCTTTTACCTCCACATCATCATTTCTAAAATTAGGTTCATAGTGCATGTGAGGGTTAAGGTAATATGCAGCCGCATGCAAAGGTCTATGAAGTTGATTATTCCACCTCTCATCAATTATGTTCCAAACAGGTTCATAACTACAATGATGCAATCATGCAATGTTAGAAATAATTACACAAAATAAAGAATGAAAATCTGAAAAAGAGAAAGTTTATAAATTTTACCTTTTTTTAATA